CAATACACGGAAGCGAGTCGAGAAACGAGCCGGCTCCTCCCAGCACCAGAAGCCCCAAAGAGCCCCCGAGCCCCGCCAAAGGCAGGGAAGAGGAGCCAGGCGGAGGGGTTGTGCGAAGGCAGCCAGGAAGTTTGGGAACTGACCCGGTCCCTGCAAACGCCGCTTTCCCACAACCTCCACTTTGGGGGAGGGAAAGAACTGCGCTCGGGGGCGCCCAGGTAGACTTGACTGACCTCTGGAGGGCCCCCCCTTCTCCTGTTCCCAGAGGGGCTCTCCTGGGGGGGGAGGGGGGAGAGGCAGCAAAGTCCCATCCACGGTTTGGGGTCCCTTCTGAGAGGGGCCAGAGGGGGAGCGGACTCGAAAGAGGACCGAATCGGGATTCTCTTCCTGGGAATAAACTTTGGGGGGGGGGAGGAGAGATTTCTTGAATGGATCCCCACCAGGAGATAAAGGGACTCACCGAGGCAGCTCTCCCGCAGAGCGACCCCCACCAACACCAGGAGCGACAGAGAGCGCAGCGCCATCCTGGCCGCGATCCTCAAACTGCGATCCGCTCCCCAGAAGTCGCAGGCAGAGAAAGACGCGGTCCGGGTGATCAACAACGCAGCAACCCAGAGCAAAAGCGGGTGATTGGTCAATCCCAACCAGTAGAATAAAAGGTATGCTCGTGACGTCATTGTTGCTAGGCAGACGTCCAGGCGCAACCGGCTGGACAGGCGGGAAAAGGAAAGCGAAAGTCCCATCAGGAAATCCCCTTCCAGGCATTCCGCCTCTTGGGGGGGAGGGGCAGAAATGGGGGGCTGGGAAAAGCCCCTCCCCCCACCTGGGCTTGGGGGGAGGGGCGCAGGCGTGAGGAATGGTGTGAGGAGCCATTGAGAGAGCGAGGTGTGCCCAGTCTATCGCACGGAAGAATTTGTGTTTGTCTGTTTGTGTGTCTCTGTGTGTGTCATAATAACTGCCTGTCTTTACTTGAGGGGCTGTCACAGAGAAGAGGGGAGGGACTTCTTCTCCAAAGCCCCAAAGAGGGCAGGAGAAGAAATAAGGGGTGGGGGCTTGTTAAAGAGGGACCCAACCTAGAAGGAGAAATTTTCTAACAGTGAGAACAATTAATCAGTGGGATAATTTTCATCCTGGAATTGTGAGTGCTCCATCACTGGAAGTTTTCAAAAACAGACTGGAGAAAGACTGAGATGGTATTAAATTTCCTGCCTGGATCTGAGGGTTGGACTAGAAGACCTCTGAGGTCCTTTCCAGTCCTATGATTCTGTGATTAGGTCATGACATCCCAAATGATCTTCGCTCTGGAGAAAAACGCTCAAAGGCTCTCGTGGCATCTTCAAGGGAAAGATATGTCTTTCTAGGAGAAAATGTCAGAGGAATTTTCTTCTCTGGGGAAGCCATGAATCTTTAGGAAGCTTCAAAGTCTTTGGTTTTCCCCACAATAAACCAAGATGGCTGCTCTCTCCCTTGGCGTTTCTTCTGGGGAATCCTTGGACTAAAAGAATAAATCCTGGTTTCTTATTAGGATTGAACAAATTCAGTTGATTTCACCTTTCCTATAAAGAACAAAGTATGAGAAACATTCAGCCGTCTTTTCATTGAATCATCTGCTTTCTTCTGCAGTCACCTTTCCTCTGAGCATGTGCAGAGTGGAAATAAGGCCCCGTCTGTGGGGAAGAGGAGGGGATAGCTTGATTGCTCAGGGATATAAAATACAGAACATAAAAGAATATAAATCTTTTGAAAATCTTTCAGATCCAGAGAGTCTCAGCAAGGCGGGCCGGAAGAATTTCCCGAAACATGGATGAGCTGGAGATTGGCGTCCCCTGCTGGTTTGCAGCTTTGCAGTTTCTCCTCTCCACTAGCAAAGGGGGGAAGCAACAGGAATCCCATCAGAAGAAAAGTCTCTTTTTATAATAAAATGATTTGTTAAAAAATGCTCATTTTTAAAATATTAAAATAAGATGCACGTTTTAATACAGAAGAGTCTCAAAAAGAATGTAAAAATTAAACCGAAGGTATTTCTTTTAGGCTGAATGGACATAGAACTTGAAAAAAGGAACTTTGTTGTTATCCACGTTGACAGCAGTGAGAATGGCCAGATTAAGTTCTTTAATAAAAAAAAAAAAATACATCCAACTTTGTTTCTACTTGGAAACCGCTTCTGGATGAATGAAACTTTCTCTTTGGGTTTCTTTTAATTTCTTGTTATAAAAATAGTCATGCATTTTAAGTTTGCAAAAGTAAAAGGTTGAGGCGGCAGTGTTATTTTTATTCAACTGTGTTGAAACAAACACACAATTTTATTACTTGGGAGGTGATTAACAAAGAACTAGCGTTGCTTTGATAGCCAGGAAGGATATTCTCTCCAGCCCCATATTTATCTGCTGCCACCTTCCTTCCACTTTCCAAAGATCACTGCTGATTAATAAGGGGTGTAGTTGATTTTAAGATTACATTTTTCTTTTTTTCTGAATTTTCATTTTGGAGGCAATGTAAATAGAGAACAATGGGAACAGGACAGGAGTCAACATGCTGGATGGCTTTCTCCTTCCTCCAGCCAAGAAGCTGCAGAAGCTGCACAATCCTTTCAGGAACCCCTGAAAACAGGCTGCAAATGCATGTGGGACTCTGGGACACTCCTGGAGGCATTCAGAGACTGGCAGTTTGCCAACTTCAGAGGGGGGAGGAGAAACCATCTGCCACATTGAGTTGGATCCCATTGGCAGTCAGCCAACCGCCATTTTAAGTAGACTGTAGCAACCTCCCACCATTTTAGGGACTGCAGGCAGCCCTTTTGTAACTCTGCATCGTCTCTTAAGAGATTCTTTATTCAGGTACTGCTGTTGCCTCCCAGCTCAGACACCCTGACTTTGGCCTGGAGCTGGTAAGAACTTGAGCCCTGAATTCAAAAGAGGCGCTTTTCCCTTTGCAAAGGGGTTTCTTTGCCCCCCCCCCCAAATAGAAAACACCCAGCAATTCAGGCAAAGCAAAAAGCCTCCATTAAGGGCTGTGTGTGTGAAGGAGCAATCTGCCCAGAAAGTTGACACCACCTGTGCTATTTCTGTCCCATCTCTTCAAGGCCTCTCCCCGGGGACAGCACAGCAGAGTTGCCTGCAATAGCTGTGCTGTGAAACAACTGAGGGTGTGGGGAAAGAAGGTGCGTATTTGTGTGTGGAAGTAAAGCAGCCTGAAGCTCCTAGAAAGGGATGTTTTTCTCCAGCAGTCCTCACAAGGAGTAAGACAGGTGGGAGTAGCTGTGGAGAAGAGTGAGTAGTAAAATTCTTGTGGAAAATGAAAGAACTCTTACGAATTCCGGAGGGGTTAGCAGAGAAGTTTAATTGCGCAAGGTCCAGAGCATATTAGAGATAGGCAATTCTGAACGAGGAGGGCGTGATTAGACTTCAGTTTTTATACTCCCCTCCTTAAAGAACAAAGGACTACACATTGAAATACACACTGTGATACATTCGGAACATTTCTCACAGGCATAGAATGGAAGGTTTTGCTACATACAAAGTATCCATGTGCAGAGCGCATTAGGTTGCCACATATTACTGACAGAGAACTTTCCCAGTGAATTTTCCCAGTGATTATGCATTACATCATTGTTCTAGCAATTATGCAGACACATCATTATTGCAGTTATGCAGACAAATCATTATTCTAAT